AGAGAGAGAGAGAGAGAGAGAGAGAGGGAAAGTGAGAAAGCAAACCTCCAGGTTCCAGGACTCAAACTGTGGCCGACCACGTGGGAGTGTCCAGTGCCTTCACCACCATGTTACCTGCTGGCCCCCAAGGTTGTGGATTTCAATGACCCTAAAGTATTCATATGCTTGGCTACTGTGCAGCTAGGCTTGTCTAGACACTCAGTGTGTGAAGGCTGAACAGCACACTGAGAAAGAAAGAAAGAAAGAAAGGGAGAAAAAAGGGAAGAGAAAACAAAGGGGAAAAACCCACAAAAACAACCAAAAAAGAAAAAACCTTTTTTTAAAAAACAACAAAAAATGAAAACCACGCCGTGCTTGAACATGGCAGGACATACCTCAGATTGAAGTGACTTCTGAAATTAGCCAGAGAGAGGAGAGGTCAGAGGTGACAAGAAGTGTTTTAAAAATTATAAAAAGAAAGATAAAAAATGTAAAGAGAGAAACAGAGGCAGAGAGAAGATGAGGGTTGCCCTACCCGTCTGAGCTTTTCTGGGGTCAGGAAGATGGGGTTCAGAGCAGAGATTCAGTTGCGTTGGTCCCTGAACGTGACAGGACACACCTCAGATGGAAATGGCTTCTGTCTGAACTTTTTGGGGGGGTCTGAAAGATCCAGTCGTGCTTGTTTTTGAAGGTTGAAAGGTGGGGTAATGATAGAGAGAGCGAGAGCATCTGGCCGGCAGGCCAGGCAGCCCCTCTCAGGGTGAGAGCACCATCTCTTTGGCCTTGGCCTTGGAGAAAACTTGAACATGCTTTGACTCCAGAGCACATCTGTCTTAAGGAGACTGACTTGTAGGAATCATATTTCTAAGAACCTTATATATAAACCCAAAGTCTAATTTACTGCTTTATAATAATGGATATATATTAGGTTGTCGGGAAAGTCATGATGTATTTTTCTATGCTTTTCTCTGCAAACATGGGGCAGAACTGTCCTTATGACCCACTATTTTGCCTTGAGTTGGATCCTTGTATTCCCAATCCAGAACACTCCCTTTTGCTGATAGTGAGGTATGTGGGAAACTGAGCAACCCAGAGATTGCTTGGTGAACATGAAATCTGTTTTAAAGCAGGGTGGGGACACAGTTCTGAGAGAGATTTCATCCAGGTCTGGGAAGACTGATGACTCACAATTGCTTCTCAACAGAGAACAGTCTGTGCTGGATAAACAGCCAACTCCGGGTCTCTGACTTCTTTTCCCACACAAGGTTTACCACTGCCCTTCTAAGCACAAGGTCAATCCAACCAGGATGCAGTACAGCAGATTGGGTTTGTGCTGATGAGAATACAGTCAAGCTTGTTCTCCTGGGATTGTTTCCAAGTCACTGTGAGTGGTAGAGCAGATGTCTCCATACTTCTCAACCTCCTGCAGTCTCTTGATTCACTCCCACTGATGACCAAGTCTATCCATGGTGCCTGTGGATTTCTTTTATTTTCAGAGGAGCAATGTTATTTTCATCTTATTTTTAATGTTTAAAAGTTTATTTACTTATTTCTTCTTTTTGTGAGAGAGATACTGAAATAGAGACAGAGATAAAGACAGAGAGACAGCATTTCCAATAGGGTCTCAATATCGCAGTCTACGCCCAGCCTTAGACAATCCCAGATCATGGGCATAAGTGTGTCAGATGTATTCAGGGAGGTCTCTGGATCTGAGCCTCCATCCTTCCCAGGTGGTAATCTCAGAGTGTTGCTTTTGACTGTGGTGCCACTGTATGGCACCTTTATTTCCCTAGCTTTTTTTTTTTTTTTTTTTTTTTTTTTTTTTACCTTGTCACACTAGCACTTGGAGCAAAATGACAACACAACGCACTGCTTCACCTCAAAGCGGTATTTTTACTCTACCCTTCCTTGGTGGCTGGCTGAATCATCGGGGCCCATGGAGTGCTTCTGAAAGGGGGGCCAGCACCTTTTGTGAATATGCCATATTTTCTTACTGACTTCATCATTCACACTCAAGGTCTCCATATTTAAACCATGGTTGACTATGTGAATCCAGTGATGTAACCATTACGCCATCTACTGGTTCGTATTCCCCTTGTTTTAATGTGTCATTCTCACTGGGATGAATTGCCATATACCAGTATCGCACTGTTTTGTAATTCCAATAGAACACAGTAGCCATTGCTTTTCTATTTTTCATACTGTTTTTTCTTCCCTCTCTCCCCTTACTTTGCCAGAGGGCACGTATGCTTGCTGGAGAAAGACTGGGAAAGAGAGTAAAACTGAGCGACACCCCCCTGCACACATGTGGGATTCCTCCTCCATGTCTCCCTCCATTTGAGATGTTGGGCATGTACGCATGTGCCCAGAATGTTTTTCAAGCCATTGGGGTCCACGACTTAAAACTGACCATGTGGAATCCAGTCGCCTTAACCACAAGCTGGCCTAGCCATTGCTTTTCTAATATAACATATATCCTGTGAAATTATGGGAAAGAATGGGGGTGAGAAAGCACTGTGGAGAAAGGAAATTTCACGCGGCTGTTAGCCGAGGCCGTCACCTCATTCCTTGAGTTCTGGGAAGATAGCGTAGTATTAGAAAAGAACACAGTTAGCTTGGAATTCTGTCTACCGCTCATTACCTGTTAGGTTACCAGTGATATCCTGGACCTTTTTTAAGTCAGTGCAACTCCAGGTGTGATTTTCAAACTTTAGACAGGTTTGCAAAGAAATAAGGACTTTGTGCCAGAATGCACAACCACTTGTGTTGCTGAGCACATTGTTCAGTTGGACTAACTCTTTTCAAAGTAAAACTTTCTCAGGGAAGGAAACAGTGCATCCGTTTATATTTTGCCTGACTCTTTAGCAATAAAACTGGAAAAGAATACCAGTTTCATGAGGCTGCTATTATAAAGGTAAAACTGACAATGTATGTAAAGTGCCTAGCCTGCTGGATGTACAATGTATAGTTTGTGGTCGTGTTTGTCTGAGTTGCACAATGTAACACTGATGATGAACTTCTCCAGCAAGTAGAAAACTGGCAGTAGAAAACTGGCAGTAGGCTCAAAAGAGGCAAAAGATTGAGGATTTAAAACCCTGCCATTCACCTCATTACCCTGAAGACTCTAAGCCTTTTCTCTCTAGGCACTTGTGTCTTCGTCTGTTTTGTTTTGTTTTAGTTCTTGCTGTAGGGCACTTGTTCTTGCTGGGGGTGGAGAGAGAGAGAAAGAGAGAGAGTGAGAAAACTCCTCTGAGTCATGGCCATGCTGAAGCCCCCTCTTCTTTATTCTCTTCTGGGGATTCTGGGCACACAAGCACATGCACCTGGCATGTTTCTCAAGCCACCAGGTCTGAGATTCAAACTGCACAGGTGGCCATGTGATATTCAGCCACCTTAACTACCATGCCATGGACTGATCCAGCCCCAACAGTCCTCACAGTCTCTCTTGCCTTAAGAAGAGATTCACTTTGTGATTTCTGTTTTATTTTATATTTTATTTTATTTTATTTTATTTTAAACAGAGTCTTGCTGTGTTGCGATCCTCCTGCCTCATCCTTCCAGCTGGGACTACAAGTGTACCACCACTCCCACATCTCTTTTAGACAAGAGTCTCAAAATGCCCGGGCCCACCTTGAGCTCATGGTCCTTCTTGCCTCAGCCTACCCTAGTCGCAGAGTAACAGGTACAAGTTGCCACCTTGCTAGGCCCTTCGGTTGGGGATTAAACTTGGACTGCATATGTGATCCTAGCCTGCAGACCACAGCATCTTAGTAGCATGTACCACCACAACTAGGCTTACGTTTTATTTATTTTATTTTTATAATTTTCCCAGAGGGTGTGTGCTTTCATCAGAGAGAGAGATAGCAAAAGAGAGAGAGAGAAAGCAAGAAAGCATACCATGTTCTCCCCACCCCCATAGGGAATGGTCATGCCACAATCCCTTTTCCTCCATTTCTCCCTCCTTTTTTTGGGTATCCATGCACATGAGCCCAGCATGCTTTTCCAGCCACCAAGTTTAGGAATTGAACCACACAGTCAGTCATGTGGGATCTACCTGTCTTAACCATCATGCCACTGGTTGGCCCCTGTGTTTTATTTTATTTATTTATTTATTTATTTTTGGGAGAGATTTTCACTATAGGGCACGTGCGCTCGCCAGACAGACAGAGAGAGACATAGAGACAGAAAGCGAGAAATCACCCCCCAGGGGGGATGGTCACGCCGCAATCCCTTCTCCTCCTTTCTCCTTTCGGGATCTTGGGCACGCATGCACACGCGCCCGGCGTGAGTTTTAAGCCACCGGGTCCAGGACACGAACCACGGTCGACTACGTGGGAGTCCAGCGACATAGCCATTACGCTAACTGCTGGTTACCTCTGTGTTTTATTTTTAAAGTGTTTATATTCCCTACTTTACAAAATAAAAATCTATTGCATTAAAGTAATTCATGAGATTATAGTTACTGCAAGACAAATAGATGAATGAGCTTGTGATATAACTTAATAAAGTTTTTTTGCATTAAAAGAGAATGACTCCTCACTTTAATCCAGTCAGATGCTTTTTGCTTGATTTTATTATTTGTGATCTTTTAGAAAAAAGATGAAATTGGTATGTACTTATTACCAAGGACAATATTTAACTATATAACTAGAATAGTTTTTAATTTGTTGTTGTTATATGGCACGTTTTCTTGCTGGAGACAGACAGAGAGAAGAGAGAGAGATAGCACCCCCTAGGGGGGATGACCACACTGCAATCCTTTATCTTCCACTCTTCTCTTGGAAACACTCCCAGCATGTTGACCATGTGGAATCCAGCCACCTTAACCTCCATACCACATGGCAGGCCCCATATAATGAGTTCTTGAATAGTTTAAAAATTAATGGTAGATTTGCTATCCTTTATTGATTATATATAATCTTTTAAAAACAATGTACCCAACACAGAAACCAATAAGATTGCAGGGATTTCTAAACCTTATCAACATTTTACTGCTTTCCTCAGTTGGATAGCTTCGAGCAAGCTACTTAACCACTCCATGACTCAGTTTCCTTATTTGCAAAATGTGAAAAGATAACCGTTTTACCCTCATAGAATTATTGTGAAAATTGGTACTGGCAGATGGTGTAATGGTTATGTCATTGGCCTCTCACATGGTCGACTGTGGTTCGAGTCCCAGACCTAGTGGCTTGAAAACCAAGCCAGGTGCATGTGTGTGCAAATCCAACGTCCCAGGAGGAGAATAGAGAAGAAGGAATTGTGGCATGGCCATCACCCCTGGGAGATTATTTCTCACTTTCCCTCTCACCGTGGTCTCTCTCTGGTAAGCACACACACCCTAAGGCAAAAATCTCTAAGAAAAAGAAAAAGAATTATTGTGAAAATTAAATGCAACAGGTGTAAAACACTTAGAAAGAACTAAGCATCCAGCAAGATTGAGAAATATTAGCTCTTCTTTTGATCACTCCAAAACCATCTTCAGATTTGTGCCCACTTGTTTACTACCAAGCAACATATATACGTAGTTAGTAATAAACCAAGGATTTCACCTAATCATCTCCTGTTACAGAATGGGCGTAATTCTTATTGTAGAACTCTTGCACTTTTTACACAGAGTATTATCATACAGCAGACACTAAGGTATCCTAAGTATGTGCGCTCATTCAGTCATCATAGCAATCCCACCCCCCAGCCCGTTGTTCTCCTGGCTGAACTCTTGGCCTTTTTTTTTAAGGTTGAAAAGTATTTCCCCAAAAGATTTAAGTCCTAATCCCCAGTGCCTCAGAATGTGACTTGAAACTGAAGTGTTACTGGCTAAGTTGTCATATTGGAGTAGGGTGGGTCCTAATTGAATATGACTAGTGTCTTTATAAGAAGAGAAAACAGAGACAGAAGTCCATGGAAACTGGAGTTATGCTTCTACAAGCCAAGGAATACCAAGGTCTACCAGAAGCCAGAAGAAATAAGGAAGGATTTTCGCTTATGGGCCCTGGAAGAAGCAAGGCCATGCTGACACCTTGATTTCAGACTTCAAGCCTCCAGAACTCTGAAAGAATATATTTCTGGTGTTTTAAACCAAGCAGTTGTGGTGGTTTATTAAAACAACCTTAAAAAACTAATACAGGCTCCTAGAAAACTGGACCTGAGAGGCAAGCTCGGGTCAACCACAGAGAAACAATGGTCCTTGACTACAAGGGTCCAAGTTGTCCCAAAAACCAGCTTCTTTGTGGAAGATCCTTGTGTGGAGACTGTTAAGATCTGGTTAAGCAGGTGCTTGCAAAATCAGGCCAGTCCTTTGGGACTAGAAGGGGTTAGAATGAGGCCTGTGAGCCTCATCCAGAAAGGCCTTTCCTGACCTACAACGCACCTTTCTCCCACTCTTTATCCTCTTACACTGGTTTTTCATTTATAGCATGAGCTGACATGCTTTATCTGTATTTATTGACTGTCTAGCTTCCCAGGTATTACCTCTACTATCAGAATAGACACTCCATGAGAATAGTGACCACAGGTGATATTTTTCAAAATTTTTTGGTGTCTCGGGACTGGCAGTTAGCGTAATGGCTATGTCGCTGGACTCCCACGTAGTCGACCATGGTTTGCGTCCCAGACCCGGTGGCTTAAAACTCACGCCGGGCGCGTGTGCGTGTGTGTCCAAGATCCTGAGGGGAGAATGGAGGAGAAGGGATTGCACCATGGCCATCCCCCCTGGGGGGTGATTTCTCGCTTTCTGTCTCTCTGTCTCTCTCTGTCTGGCGAGCGCACGCACCCTATAGCGAAAACCTCTCCCCCCCCAAAAAAAATTTTTTTTGATGTCTCCTGTATTTTGCAGAAGTGACTTAAACATTTTTTTCTTTGCATCTCCCTGTATTTTACAAGTCATTTTTGCCTTTTTAAATAAGACAGAAGTTTTGTTTTTCTAAAGTTTTACTCACAGTTTGTGTCCTTAGGACCTACTAGTCAACAAATATTTGTTGAATGAATAACTAAATAAGAATTATTTTTATTTAACTTTACTTATTTATTTGACCAGAGAGGGACAAGGTCGAGGGGGTGGTGGGGGAGACAGAGAGAGCAAGCCGCCAGATCTGGGACCCGAACTATGGTTGGCCATGTGGGAGTTCAGCACCTTCAACCACCCCACCACCTGCTGGCCCTGATACTTCTTTTATTCTTATGTTTAAATCATTTCTTTTCCCCCAGCAGTATTCAGCAACTTCTTTGGGGAAAGAATTGCCTGTGTCAGCTATGCTGAAGAAAACGTAGGAAAGGATTTGACCATGCTGGAGGCATACTTTGGTCGAGTATGTTCCTATCACCATTCTCCAAGGGTTACCAGCAACCCAGTCGTATCACATTCCTAGAATCTTGAATCAATACCAATTTGCTCTACTACTAAATATTACCTTATCAAGTTCTTAGAGCGTCTTTCTGGTGAGCAAGGAGGTCTTTGAGTCTGGCGCCTGTACCTTCCTAGAAACATGGCCCCCAAGCAACAATCTTCACTCATACCTCTGACGAAGAGACTAAGACTGCCCCCTGCCTCGAGACCAGAGAAGGCATTGGTCTCTCTGGACTTACCCAAGGGAGAGAAAGAGCAACAAGAAGCAATTGAACATATTGATGAAGTACAAAACGAAATAGACAGACTTCATGAACAAGTCAGTGAGGAGATTTTGAAAGTAGAAGAGAAATATAACAAACTTTGCCAACCATTTTTTCAGAAGAGGTCAGAATTGATCGCCAAAATCTCAAATTTTTGGGTAACGACTTTTGTCAACCATCCACAAGTGTCTGCACTGCTTGGAGAGGAGGATGAAGAGGTGCTACATTATTTGACCAGAGTTGACGTGACAGGATTTGAAGATATTAAACCAGGTTACAGAATAGATTTTTATTTTGACAAAAATCCTTACTTCAAAAATAAAGTTCTCTCCAAAGAATCTCATCTGAATGAGAGTGGTGATCCACCTTCAAAGTCCACTGAAATCAAATGGAAAACTGGAAAGGATTTGATGAAATGTTCAAGTCAAATGCAGAGTAAAGCCAGCAGGAAGAGGCAGCATGAGGAGCCAGAGAGCTTCTTCACTTGGGTTAATGGCCATTGTGATGCAGCTGCAGATGAGTTAGGGGAGGTCGTCAAAGATGACATTTGGCCAAATCCCTTACAGTGCTATTTGGTTTCCGATATGGATGATGAAGAAGGGGTAGGAGAAGAAGAAGATGATGATGATGAAGAAGAAGAGGGATTGGAAGATGTTGATGAGGAAAGAGATGAGGATGAAGGTGAAGAAGATGAAGGTGATGATGAAGGGGAGGAAGGAGAAAAGGATGAAGGAGATGACTGACAGAACACTGATGGATTCCAATCCTCCTTTAAAAATTTTTTTTCTTCAGTCCCTGGGAGCAAGTTGCAGTCTTTTTTCTTTTCTTTTCTTTTTTCCTCTCTTTTTTCCCTCTTGTGCTCAGTTGTCCTGTTCTTGAGATCTCTTTTCTCTACACCATGGTTCTCAACTTATTTTGGGGGAAAAAACCTTGAGCAGAAACAATAGGAAAAGAATCTCTACGCTTTCCTGTTCCAAATTCATTTTTATCCCTTCCTGTTTCAACAAAAACTGGAATCACCACCACCGTGCTCTGTGGGAAAAAAGAAAATCCTTCTACTCCCTTTGTTCTGCTGGAAGCTGGAGGGTGCTAGGCCCCTTTGTAGTAGTGCATAGAATTCTAGCTTTTTTTTTTCTCCTTTCTCTGTATATTGAACTCAGAGATTACACTGTGTCTCTAGGTGAATATGGACAGTTAGCATTTACCAACATGTATCTGTCTACTTTCTCTTGTTTAAAAAAAGAAAAAAAAAAAAGGGACCAGCAGTTAGCATAATGGCTATGTTGCTGGACTCCCAGGTAGTCGACCATGGTTCGAGTCCCGGACCCAGTGGCTTAAAACTCACACTGGGCGTGTGTGTGTGTATGCCCAAGATCCCAAGAGGAGAGTGGAGGAGAATGGATTGCGGTGTGGCCATCCCCCCTAGGGGGTGATTTCTCACTTTCTGTCTCTCTGTCTCTCTGTCTGTCTGGCTAGTGCACGCACCCTATAGCAAAAACCTCTCAAAAAAAAAAAAAAAGGAAAAAGAAAAAAGAAAAAAAACTTTAAAAAATGGGATTATAGAAGGTCAGCAAAGGGTGAGTTGAGCTGTTTGGGTGGGTTAAGTGGGCATTTTGACAACATGGCTTCTCCTTTGGCATGTTTAATTGTGATGTTTAACGAACATCCTTGTGGTTTAAGATGACACTTTCAAAATAAAATTTTCTCCTAATGTCTTAATGATGACTTGAGCCCTGCCACTTGGGAGAATCAGCAGAACCTGTAGGATCTTATTTGGAATTGACATTCTCTATTGTAATTTTGTTTCTGTTTATTTTCAAATTTTCTCTTTGTTTCACTGGAAAGGAAAGATGCTCAGTTTTAACAGTGAGTAAGTTGCTTTGTTACAATAAAACTAAATGTGTACACAAGGATTTGATGCTTTTCTCTCAGAATAGATAGGCTTAATATGGCCTTCCAAGTTTGACTTGTATAGAGCACTTCACTGTCAAACTGTCACCCGAACTTCGTTATTTTTGATACGCACTGCGCAGGATGACTTCTCAGGGCTGTGTGGACTGAGTAAACGGGTTTGAATCAATGTATTAATGTCCCCACAGCTGGGAAACGTGAGCACAATTTGCTGTTGACTTATCAATATTATCATTGGGGATGCAAGAATGGTCAAAGCTCGGTTCTGAATATCTCGTATTTTTATCTCAAATCGGTAGTTTTTTAAATGGGCCTTTGTGCCTGTGACACCATCAGACAAACTGGTGCTCTACTGCCAAGCTACACACGAAGCAGTGGCTGGCACGTCTTCACCGGCACCCTAAAGTATGACCAAGAAGATGGGTTCTTGGAGTAAGAATTCAGTTTTGGAAATTACGAATACTTTTTTTGGTCCCTAAGTCCCTATTTTCTAGCATAAAGCTCCCTAACATGACTGACTGTGAATCTCAGTGGGTTGATGAGCTCTGCTCAGTGCCACTGTGCAGAGAGGCTACCTAATGCATGAGCTTTTTAATGATGTACAGTGTGGTGGGAAATGCCACTTTTTGGCATTAATGCATTAATGGGCAGCCTCATCAAATTAAAGCTTTTTGGTGTATAGAACTTTATAATGGAACTATTCCATCAATGGGCAAAGTGTAACAAAACCCTGTCTAGATGGACAGTTTGTGATTTCTGCACAGGGCTCTGTTTAGTAAACACAGCACTGTATACTGGTCAGGAATCTTGCTCCAACAAAGCAACATAAAGACTTTTTTTTTTTTAAATAATTATTATCTTATCATATGCTCAATTTCAGACCTCCTTTGGAGAGAGGGTTGAATGGACTTTGACTGATTCCAATATTTTTAAAGGGTTACCATGAAACTCCTAGGTATTGTTTAATCATTGATGAATTCTGGATGGTCATCCAATAATTGTAAATTTGGGGGCCACAGATGGTGAGGTGGGTAAAGTACTGGATCCCACATGGTCGATTGTGAGATTCAAGTCTTGGACCTGGTGGTTTGAAAATCACTTCAGGTGCACGTGTATGTGCACCAAACAAAATCCTGAGAGGAGAATGGAGGAGAAAGGGTTGTGGTTGGCCATTCTCCCTGGGAGGTGATTTCTCACTTTCTTTCTTTCTCTCTGTCTCTGTTTCTCTCTGGCAAGCACACATGCCCTATACCAAACTTAAAGAAAGAAAAAAGAAAAGAAACCCTAAAACACACACAAAATTGTGAATTGGAATCTGGATGCAGATTATTTAGGAAAACCTACAGAATATCCTCAGGGGTCAAAGAAACTTATAACTGGGTAAGTGTAGTCCCTGGGACACTCCTTATCCTCTACAGTCTTCAGAAGATAGTCATTCCATATTATTATAAATCCTGAAGGCCTCCATATTGCTATTCATAAAACAACTGTTCTTGAGAACAGGGACACTAGCATATGAGTGAACAAATGACTTCAGATTATCCTTGGCTGGACAAACCCTCTTGCCAATCAGGCCAGCCCTAAACTAACAGAAGGAGCTTGTCCTGAATTTCTCTGAGAGCCGACAGTGCTAAGAACTGTTAAACCAGGAGAATAAAACTCCAAGCATTAGCATGACCTCCCCAACACTCCGCCTAGCAGCTTGAAGCCAAGGACAAGAACAGGCAATGTCTATCAGCTGTTCCTGGGGAAAATGTCCAAATTTATTTTAGTTTCAGCTTTGCTTAAGTTCAACCCATTTTGCTGAGAAGATACACCACCCTTCCAGCAGCATAAGATTGATTTCCAGACTGGCAATTACAATTACACAAAGCCGATACTATTATTTCAGCTCTCAGACAATTAAGGAAATTCATGTGACTGGAAGATGAGGAGGAAAGGTCAGGGTAATGTAAGGTTCCAGTTGTCTTATTCTGTGCAGTACTCAAACCTTGGACTTCACAGATGGAAACCAGGTGTGCCTAGAGCATTACATTTCATGCAGGCTTCTTTTTAAGAATTATTAATTTTTAATTTATTTATTCATTTATTTTAATTTGACCAGGGAGAGAAAGTGAGAAAGCAAGCCACCAGGTCTGGGACTCCAACCGCGGTCGGACATGTAGGAGTGCCCAGCACCTCAACCACCACGCCACTTGCTGGTCCCCATCATGTAGTCTTCGAAAATGATCACTGATAAGGTCGTCTGTAAAAATGTAGAATCTGGATTAGATAACCTCTCAGGCTCTTCCAGCTCTAAATTCTGCCTCACCATCTCTGTATTCTAGCATAGTTTTCTTTTTCACCAAGTACTTGGAAAAAAATAATTGAAAAAGTATCAAATATTACATGACAAAATGCATTTACACAATTTTATTTCATTAGAAGAAGAGAAGCTCTTTGTACAGTGTTTTAATATATTACAAATTCCAAAATTACCCTGCTCAATATTGCTAACCTCTTCCTTGAGCTTGTCAAACACCTATATGGAACAGAATTAACTTAATTTAAATTTAAATAAATTTTCTTTTGTACCCCTCTCTCTGTGTGTGCAAGCATGTGTGCTCTCTATCATGAATTTAAAAAAAAAGAGTTGGAGAGAACAGGCAATGGAAGAATAGTATGTGTGTCTATATGAAAACTTTAACTTTCTCTAATTGTGGTTATTTGTGTGGTAGAACTATATAGAGTGGTTCTTTTTATGTTTTAAAATTTTCTCACATGGGCAGATATTGTATTTACAATAAAATATGTTAAAATTTAAATAATGCAGCAACTATAAAGTGAGTCGCCAATATCGTTCTAGAACCTGTGGCAAGTTATATTTCCCATATTGGCTGCACCTGTATATTTAACCTATCTCGCAAGCTTTTCTTATGAGGCTGAACCTTCTTCCACAGGGATTTGGTATCTATATTCCTTTTCTTTGTATCTGGGCAGGGATTTGGGGCTACCCCAAACAATAGAGTTTGGTAGAAAGTCTCAAAATATGTGACTTTGAAAGCTACATTGTAAAAACGATGCCATCTCCTTCTCTTTCTCTCTTTCTCAGGATACTTGCCCTTAGAACTCAGTTGTCATGTCCGGCGGGTCAGGACTCACAGAGAGGTTTCGTGAGGACATGCTGGCTGACATCCTTAGCCCCCAGTTGTGCGCAAGCATCATCTGCTGTCACAGGGAGTGAGTGAATAATCCTTCAGATCCTTTCAGCCCCCAGTTTTGATCTTCCAGTTGATAACCCTGACAAGGCGGGTCAGAAATCAGACCTCCATTCTATTGTCTGTCTGCATTTCTGACCATGAGAATGGTAGAGATAATACATGATGTAACGCATGATCATTGTGATTCAAGCCATTGTGATTGGAGTAATTTGTTATGCAGCCATAGACACACATAGGAGCACTGAAATCCTTAAGCTAAAAAGGGTGTTTGTTATTGATTTAGGAAACTGAGTCACTCATGGGGGAGAAGAATTGAAATGTACTGTAAATTCTCATTAATCTCTATGACCATCAGCTAATCAGATAAAGTCTCTCCTCAGAAGGGAGAATTTAAATGCTGGAAATGATGTCTAGGTGTGCCAACAATGAATTTTTCAGAACCTGGAGTGCTGAATCTGTCCCTTTTGCCTAAAAGGTGCCACATTTCTGTGCCAATAACACAGGAAGGTATGGCTAGATGTTCTTAATTCTCTCGCTCATGGGCAGTTCTGAAGCTAGACAGTGGAAGTGGAGTCTCTTCATCAGCAATAGAAACGGCACTACTTATGATACATTGACTCTGGTGTTGTATTAATTTCTATAACTACAGTAGATATTTTTGATAGCTTATTGTCTCATGAAATAATCAATTTCGCCTCACCTAAATCCCTTTTTTTTTTTTTTTTGGAGAGGTTTTCGCTATAGGGCATGTGCGCTCACCAGACAGATAGAGAGAGACAGAGAGACAGAAAGCGAGAAATCACCCCTCAAGGGGGATGGCCACACCACAATCCCTTTTCCTCCATTCTCATCTCAGGATCTTGGGCACACATGCACAAGTGCCCAGCGTGAGTTTTAAGCCACCGGGTCTGGGACGCAAACCGTGGTTGACTGCATGTGAGTCCAGCGACATAGCCATTACCCTAACTGCTGGTCCCCTAAATCCCTATTCATATATCACATTATATATTTTACCATGGACTTTTGGGGGAAAAAAACTGCATTGAAAGCCTAGTTTTGAAAGACATAGTCTCTATTCCATCAAAACAAAAGTTCAAAAAGTTTTATAAAAAATTTATTTATAAT